TTTTCTTTTAGTTCCTACACAGTTTCTCAGACCCTAGGGCCTTGGTGCATTGAAGTGATTCAACACAGAGTTGTTTGCCCCAGTGTGGGGAGAACACTAGCTATTACTGAACTGGGACTGGTAGAGAGCCTGGAGTGGAGAATCAAGGCCAGTAGGTCACCCTAGGAAGTCATTATGCTGCTGGCACCCAGCAGGAGCCAACCAGGAACCAAACCTTCCACCAGAATCTAGAAGGCAAGTCAGAGCCCCATGATGCAGAGAATCCAGGGACCTGCTCCATGCTCCTGGGAACAGTCTGAAACCTGTGGGGAGTCGGCCTGCACCTCCCCATGGCATTAGTGCTTCAGGGACGAGGGGGCCCCTCACCCACTGTCCTCATCCATCAGCACCGAGGAGAACCCCTGCTGGGCTATCCCATCAGCCCTGCCCTTGGCGGCCTTTGGTCCAAAACACTATTTCCAGGGCCTGGTACTTGAGAGGCCAGGAGGGAGCCCCAGAAGGGCTGTGTCACAGGTGGAAGCCAGGGCTCAGCTCTGAATCCATCAGGAGTCAGCCCCCAGCCCCCATCCTGTCTAGACTGGCTGCCCCATCCCACCTCAAGGCTGGCCCCAGGGGCCCAGTCCCCCACCCCAGCCCTTCCCTCAGAGAAGGTGCCTGAGCCCAGAGCAAAGCCAAGCCCTTCCTGAGGCTGCAGAAGCGGCCTCGGCCAGCAGCCCAGTGCGCTCTCCTCTCTCTGTGGGCCTGCAGGTGCCAACAGTCAGCCTTTGTCCCTGGCCCCACCTGAGCATGAGGAGAGTAAGACAGCAAAATATCCGGGGACTTAGATGGCATCTGAAAAGCTTTATTTCCTTAACATTAAAAGCAAATGAGGCAAAATATTAAGATTCGACAAAGTTAAGTAATAATTACGTGGGTGCCTACTAAAGTATATTTACTTTTCTGTAATATTTGAAACATTTCTTAATTTTTGTTTTTTTAAAAATTAAAGAGAAGTTCCCATAACATAAAACTAACCATTTTAAATTGAGCATTTTAATCCACTCACGATGTTGTGCAACCACCACCTCTAATTCCAAAATATTTTCATCTCCCCAAAGGCAAACCCCGTACCCATTAAGCTGTTGCTCCCTGTTTCCCCCTCCTCTCAGCCCCTGGCTGACCACCAGTTTGTGGTCTGTCTCTATGGACTTACCTATTCTGGAAATTTTATATAAAAGGAACCATACCATATGTCCCTTTGTGTCTGGCTTCTTTTACTCAGCACAGTGTTTTCAACTTGGTGGTCTGTCTCCGTACTTCATTCCTTCCTACGGCTGAGTAATACTCCACAGTGTGAATATATCACAGTTTGTCCATTCATCCGCTGATGGGACATTTCAGCTGTTCCACCTGTTAGTTATCGTGAACAGTGCTGCTATGAACACGCCTGTACACATGCCTATTCAGGTCCCTGCCTTCAATCCTGTAGGTTATAAACCCAGGCATGGAATTGCTGGGTCATATGATAATTTCTTTGAGGAACCATCAAACTGTTTTCAGCAGCAGAAGAACCGTTTTACATTCCCACCACCAATGTATGAGGGCCCCAATTTCTCCACACCCTGGTCTGCACTTGCTATTTTCCAGTTTTTTGATGAGTCATCCTAGTTTCATGTGAAATGGTACCTCATCGTGGTTTTGATTTCATTTTCCTCCTGACTAATGATGTTGAACATCTTTTCATGTGCTTATTGGCCATTCATATATCTTCTTTGGAGAAATGTCTATTCAAGTCCTTCACCCATTTTCTAAGTGGCTTGTTTATCCTTTTGTTGTTGTGTTGTAATAGTCTATAGTTTAAAAAAACTCTCCCAGGGTGGCCAGTGCCTCCTCGGGCCCTTCAAGTCTCTGCTCTTTCACACACCAAAGCACATCCAGCTTCCTGTGTACAATCTGTGCCGAGGAAAACTTAAGGACTGGTGTCTGCTTTCTTTCCTGTTCTCCCAGGCACCCTGGGACCCATCCCCAATCTAGAGAGGAAGGAAGAGGTTGGAGGAGGTTCCAGAGCCTCTCAGGATGTGGGAGGGGGGTTGGCTTTGGGGGAGAGGGCCTGAGGTGGAGGAGAAAAAACAACTTCTAAGACAGCTGAGAGGGAAGTGGTCTGGGCAAGGGAGAATTATTTCCTCTAGTGGCCCCTACTATCACAGGTCACCAAACCGCCCTGGAGGAGTAAGTTTCCACTACTCCAAGGCTCTGAGATTTCCTACACCCCTGCTCTCTCCTTTCACTTGGTAGAGTGGGGTGATCCTCCCATCCCCTCCCTCACAGATCACCCTGCCTACCTGGGCTGTTCCTACCCCCAGGGGCACTCCTTCCCCTAGGCTGGGATGCCAAGAGGAGTCAGCGGGCACTGGGAGGCTGTCCCTTCTGTGAAGCCAGGCCCCCCACATCTGCCAACACCTGCTGCCACCTGAGCCAGTTCTTGTGAGGGCAGGAGAAGGAGGTGCCCCTGAGTCCTTTGCATGAAGCCAAGCTAACACCCTCTCTCGTGATTCTTGTCACAATGCTCCCCGAACAGCTACAAAGGCAGAGCAAGCCACTCATTAGGGCAACTGAAGAGACACTAGGAAGACCTTGTGTTGCTTCAAAATCTCTCTGCCCCATCACACCTCACCATCAGCCATCATCTCTTTTGGTCATGAAACTCTGCCTTTGTAAATACAGTGGCCTCTGAAGGAACACCCACTACTTATTTCCGGGTCATGGGCACTGTGTGCTCATCTTCAGAAATCAGCCTTGGACAAGCACAGGCCAGGTGCTGAATAGACGCACCTAGAGGAGCCATTTGGGGAAAG